TTGTGTGAGGCCGTAAATATTGCCCTATTGCTGAGTCAGACATAAAATCTATCCGCCGTGTTGCAAAGATGAACCCTTCGTCAGACCGTCCCCGCAATATTATTGCAACGCTGCACTCGGAACTTCACCGCGACACTATTATCTCTGCAGTGCGAAGATATAATAAAGCAAACAAGTTGTGTCCGCTAAACTCATTTCATATGGGCTTAGTTGGCGAAAAATACAATATCTACGTATCGGAACACCTATCAGCTGAATGCAAGGCAGTACACGCCGCGGCAAGACAATGGACTAAAACTAACCACTACAAATTTGTCTGGGTAAAATACGGTCGCGTCTATGTTCGTAAAAATGAAGAATCCCCTGCTATTTTTATAAGAGACACTAGTTCTTTATCAAAGCTGCCGCCTAAGAACCCTGTATTATAAGTAGTCTAATTTATACATATTTTTAAAATGCATATATATTATCAAAATCTCAATAGAGCTAGAAGTAAAATAGATATTCTTTATAAAAACTTTCTGAACTCTCATTACGATTTGATATGTCTAACTGAAACAAATTTTAATGCTTCTGTACTTATACGATGGGGAACTGTTTGACGAGCAATACAATATTTTCCGTAGAGATCGCGATACCACTTGTTTTAAAAAGTATAATAAAGACGATGGAGGCGGTGTCCTCGTAGCAGTTAAAAAACAATACTCTGCTGTCAGAGAGGTCTCCTGGGAAAGCGAACTAGAGGATGTCTAGATTAGCATATTGCCTCCCAATATTAATGGTCACACAATTAATGTATGCGTTCACTATCTGCCTCTCTATCTAAATAAAAATGACCTGTCAAACTTCTATTCAAATCTTCAAAACATTATCCTAAAATCAATCTCTTCACCCCCGTGCCTCGAAAGCACGTAAAGCCGTTGGTCCTGCGCTCCGGTCGGACTATGAGAGTAAGGTAGTAGAGACTGCACCTACGCCTGCGCTTGCGCATACACTCGGGCACACCTATTCAGCGCAGATTAGTCTCCGTAGAGACTGAGCGCCATGACCGAAATTCGGTTTGGAGGATATAAAAAAAGATAAGATGCTTTTTACCGTAAAATGAATAAATCTTCAATTTTAATTTTGAACATTTCCCTATATTTCACATAGTTTTCAGATTAAGCAAAAAAAAAAAGAACTGGGGTTTTAAGTGGTTTTTCCATTATAAGTAAGATTCGGTTAAAAGACCCCTATTACCTACATATCTAAAGGTTGCTTTTGTATAAGTTCTGTGTGGTAAAAGCTGGTTGTAAACCATATCTTAAGTAATGAAATCATAAACATGAAGGTGGAAATGGGAGTCATTAAAATAACACATAATTTATTTTTTAATATGTTTAGATTGTAATTTTTAAAAGTTTATTTCATTCAAATGCATTTTGGTTTCATTTTATTTATAATACAACATTATCAATCTATACAAAGTTAAATAGATTATAAATAATACAACTAGACGCACCGCCCGGGGCCGAACTCCACTAAACGTGACAATATTTAATCATTAGACGTCAGTAAGTATCGAGAAATATTGATATAGCCCTTAAATTTAATATATTTATATAAAGATTTGTTCGTTTAATGAGTCATTCTACGGAGCTTGCTTTCAGGTGTTGCCTTGCGCGCAGTATGGCAACTTATATATAATGTCCTTATAAATTAAGTGGAATTATTTTAGGGAACTTTATTTCATCACTGGTGTATGAGTGCAGCCAGCTATATTTCCTCGAAGGTCGTCGTATGGTGCACATGTTGTGCGACAAACCCAAACCACGTTTGCTATTAAAATTAACTTAATATTATAATAACCTTTATCACGCTGCGTCCAGAAGCCAGCTGAGGCAGACTGTTGTTTTGCTTAGGTTTTACTAAAATTACTACATTTGAATTAAAAGCTAAGATTTTGTTTACGAACCTGAACCTGATGGCATCACATATTGACGTCTGGACGTAGCGTTACAATAAACAAATGATCACAAAGCGAATGAAATTAAATACACACATACATTGATATTCAATAATAAATACGATCGTTTGTACTTCGCTTGTCAAAAACAAGTTGCGACATATAATTTCATATTCAAAAATATAAATCGATATGTTATGGACCAAATGATTAATAAGTGCACGCAATATGATAAAAGTTATTGAAATAATTAAATTGACCGGACTTTATGAATAAAGTCCGTTGGTTTTTGGGCAGAGTAATGAAAAGGTAGATAAGGTTAGATTATGACCAGACAATGTGATAAATAATGAAGTTTAAAGCAGTATTAATTACGTATCTCGACTTGACTTGTCATTGTTCATATTGTCCGGGCATTACAAATAGCCCCGATTAATCACTTGGTCCGTAACATACACAGCAGGTGCAGGATTGCGTCAGACACACACGAGTATTATAATGTAACTTTAAAAGGTGAGTTTAACATTTGAACTCTTACGGCTGTATGCGAATGTCTTTTATTTACAACTAATATGACACTACGAAGGAATATGTTATTACAGTTCTTTGTACACCAGTACACGTAACTTTAGTGTGACACCTCAGAAAAACAAAGAAAGATAAATGGAACACTACATGCGTTTGAAGAGATGCCGAAATTATAGTAAGAACACTCACTCACAGACACATATGCAAGGCAACCACCAACATGGTATTAGTGATGCATATATGTGATTTAGCCGTCTCTTGAAATGCACTTAGTTATTCTATCTACCTTTTTTGTAGGATGAGTGTGGCATACACCGGTTATGGGCAGTATCGTATGCAAACCTAATAAATTATAAAAAAGAAACTATACACTATTATAAAACATGTAAAAAAAAACCTGTGGTTCTCGTTAAATGCCTTATCAGACTGAGTATTTAAACGTATAGAGAGATAACTTCAGTACAAAAAAAAATTAAATAAAAAACAATTATGTGCAAATTGTACGTGGTTTTATTACCTCTGCATTGGTCGGGGAGTTAGAGCATTGTCAAAGACCCCGCTTTACCGATGCGGAGGTAATAAAGCCACATACAATTTGCAAATAAAAATTAATTTCAAATTAATATTTTTATCTTCGAGTATTCTGAAGTGAAGTTATACGTTTGAATACTAAGGCCAAGAACGCACTGGCATGGCGGCGTGCCGTTGCGGCAGGCCGCACTATATACGGTCTGCCGCATCGGCACGCCGTATTCCGGCTAACCGTATCGTCTCGGTCCTATTGCGGTCCGCTGCAATCGTTAGTGCTTCTAGTAATATTAGACATAATAGACGTTGAAGAAGTTGCTGCAGTTATTGTGTTTAATAATCAGCGCATTTACTATCTCTTATACCAAATGCAATTATTATTCCCGTTCTTTGATTTCTAAAATGAACGTTTCTGTATCAAAATCCAAGAGATGAAGCGGCTTGCGGCTAACCGTGTCAGTGCGTGGTGGGGATGCGGCGCGTCGCATCGTCAGTGCGTCGCGATCACGCGGTTTCATATAAAAATCTAAGTGCATCCTACCGCAACGGCATGCCGCATGACGGCCAGCCACTAGTGTGTTCTTGCGCTAATTCTGATAACGCACTTAACGGGAACCACAGGGTTTTTTACATGTTGTGTGTTAACGGCGATTGTACGATTAATTTTAAGAATACACGACGGTATTAGAAATTCATATCTATAGACAAAGTCGTTTGTATACAGGGCCGACATAGAGTTGTACAGGCTTTACACTGTAGCCCAGTGACTCCCAAAATTTGCGTGGAGTATCAGAACCATTGTGTATAACGGTCATATTATCATAATAATATGTCGGTACTTACCAAATATAATACGGATGTAATTAAGGTATGGTGGAACTAACAAAACATCATTGGCAGAAGTAGTTCAGCAAAAAAATTTAATATAGCATGATTTAAATGATGGTAGTTACAAGTTATTTGCTCAATTCAAAAAAGCTCAATTGCTTAGCAAATGAGGAGGTGGCAAATTGCCACTGGCAAAATTACTTGAAAGAAACAAACTCGAGTGACATGCACTCATAAATTAATTATTTTTTAATTAACATTTTATTGTACTAAAGGTACAAACGATGAACCTAATGCCACAATATGGCACTTTCCACCAGCTAACCGGAATGTTAGTGGGAGAAATATGTACTGTATTGGATTAAGATGAAAAACATAAAATAGACATACATAAATGTACAATATAAACATAGTGAAATGTCGTTGCCTTTGAGTTACTCGAATTTGTTAGTTGTTACTTAATTAAACATAAAACAATATTCTAGTTGTACTTTAATTTTAAATACATAAACGTTTTAGAACAGTCGATAGTGTCTCAACCGGCGTATAGTTTGTGACTCATTGTGCTCACTATAGGATCGGTTACCAGTACTATATTACACGTTACGGTCAAATTTAAATATTTAATTGCGTAAGCCTTTTTCAGCCTTCAAGTCCACAGCTAAACACAATGCTAGCGGGCATGCGCCACTTGAAATACAGTGTAATATATATAAATTGTAATTAACTACACGCATTCAAATTAATTATGTCGACTTTCTTAGACATTTTTCGGAGGTCCACTGGCGCAGTGAACATTGTTCTGAAGACTTTTATGTATACTGCTAGACCGGCAATTCAGAATCAGTACTGCGTCACGGCTGCGGCTGCGTGGGCGGGGGCGGGGGCGGGCAGCAGCCAGGGTAGATATATTACTGTTTTTAGGCAAATACTAAATCAGTGTTAAATCGTTAAAGACAACGTTCGCGGTTCACAAAACAAAGAATTAGTTTTTTCGGCTCGCAGTCGACTAAAATTACTGAGAAAATTACCGTAACTTAATGCGCGTTGAAAGTACCATAGTACTCGTGTTGTCGTATACACAGAAGTCTTTGAGAGGTCGAGGCTGTAGTATACACAGAAGTGTACGTCAGGTTGAGACTGATTCTTCTATACTAGAAGCAGTGAATGCTCAGACGAAGTGGTCGTCGCGCAGCATGGGCTCGTCGTCGCCGAGGCCGGCGTGCGTCCAGTCCCAGCGGCGGGGCTGCAGGATCCCGCACATCCCGCACTGGAAGAAGTCGGCGCAGTTCCGCAGCGGGCCGCGCGAGAAGGGCGAGCGGCCGCCGCGCGCCTGGAAGTGCCGGTAGCGGCCGCGGTTCAGCTGCTCGTTGGTCGTCATGCCCAGGCACACCACCTGCACACCAATAATAGCCCGTATAACAACCTGTAGCCTGCCGTCAGTGATTGACTTAGTAATTCCTCGCCTAGGTCGGCCGGTCAGAATGGAGCGCTAGAGATAGAGTATTAGAGCTTTAAGCTTAATGATAGAAATATAAAATACAAAATAAAGCCGGTAGCACACTGACTTCATAAGAATCTTCAGCCCATAGACTCACCTCTCTTTTTTACTTATTATAAGCCAGTTCTTGACCGCAATCAAATCAAATTTTGTTTAATGTACTTATGTATGTCATAAACATTGCAAAGCGTAGAGTTGATCTCCTGTATTTCATATAAAAATGATGTGTCAACATATTTAGGATAACAATCTGGCACAAAACTGTTATATTTATATTATATTTTAATGTATTTTGAATGTTATCAGTTTTGTTGTCCATATAATAAATAAATAAAATCCCACCTGGTGGTAAGTGGTGAAGCAGCCCTAGATGGTAAATCGCACTGTCTTAGCGTAACGTAAAAGCCTATTTACTCTTGCCTTGAAGACGCCCAAATTGTATTCGGATGGAAAGATCCAAATTATTCCACTCCTTTCTCCTTTGCTGTACACATTACAAGACGAAGCAAACCCTTTGGTTCTAATGCGTGGAATATCGACAACAAAAGGGTGAAGACCCGCTGACCGCCTGGTTGTCCGATCGTGGAAAGGAGAGGGAGGAATAAAAGCGTGTAATTCCTGCGCACACTCACAGAAATGCACCCTATAGAATACCAAGAAATTAGCTACTCTGCGCCTATGCTCGAGGCTGATTAGATTGGTTTCAACCAAATCTAGGTCACTAATGACCCTGTTAGCACATCTCTCCACTGAGTTCAACGGTGTCAGGTGGCATTTTGCAGCATCAGCCCATATGTGACAGCAGTAATCCATGCACGGCCGGACTTGCGCTTTATATAAGGTAAGAAGCTGCCCTGGCGTGAAGTACCGCCGCACCCTTTCAAGAACAAAGTTTCCTTGCAGCTGCTTTGGCTCTGGACTCAATGAACTGCCCATAGTTGAAGTTCGGAGAAAATTCAACCCCTAACAACTGAAGGCGGTCAGTGTGCTCCAAGGATACATTACGGAAAGTAGGAGCCAGGGTGAACGGGCTCTTTTTAGCGGTAAAAAGACACGCTTGTGTTTTGGAGGCGTTAAATCTCACGAGATTGGCATCGCCCCATTCGTAGACTGCCTGTAGTGTGAGATTCACACGCTCAATCATAGCCTCTTTTTCGAACTGGATTTGATCCCGACTGGCCCGGGCACTTGGTTGGTATCTCTTCACAACTGAGCTGTCGTCTGCATACCCATAGGTACCGGAAATGAGCAGATCATTTATATGCAGCAGGAACACAGTTGCGGAGAGAACAGACCCCTGAGGAACACCGGCGTTAGTTGCCACAGGATTGGATGAACAGCCATCGACGACGACCCATGGAGACCGTTCACTCAGAAAGTCCTTCACCCAATCAATCAGGCCATGGGACGAGCCGTACGCCGAAAGATTGCCTAATAGACCAGCGTGCCAAACCCTGTCAAAGGCCTTTTAAACGTCGAGGGAAACAATATGTGCTTCACTACTGTTCTCGAGGGCTTCGCCCTATATGTGGCATACACTAGAAGTTCCCCAGTTGATCGATTTCGACGAAACCCGTACTGGCGGTCACTGAGGAGATCATTCTGTTCTAGGTATGCCATGAGATGGGCGTTCAATATACGCTCTATAATCTTGCAGAATATGGAGGTAATTGAAATTAGCTGGCAGGGTCGGTACGGCTACCTTTTTTTAGGTACAGGCTGCACATTGGCCAGCTTCCAAGATTTGGGCACTATTGCAGTCCTGAATGAGAGGCGGGACAAGCGTGTCAACATAGGAGACAACTCAGGTACACCAACCTTTAGAATTATAGTTGGTATACCATCAGGTCCACTAGTTTTATTCACGTCTAGACTTCGCAAGGTTTTTTTTATAGTATAAGGGTAATAAACGAGCACACAGTCCACCTGACGGTAAATGGATGCTGTGGCCCATAGACATACACATTCTATCTATCCTCGATTAATAATCAAAATGCAGATGCGTTGTCACCCCTGAGGATTAAGATGGAGTGCCTCGTTTCCAGTAAAAAGGTTTTAAGAACTTGTTGATGATGAGAATTTCTGACATAGAGGTACCACAGTGAGGTAATTGAGATGGTACGCTGTTGCTACTGTCCAGACGCGAATTGCATGCAAAAAGAGAAGCAATTAAGTCCGCTTACTCCTTAGGCGCATGCGCCAGTGAGCCATCTGGTTTTACCAGCGGAGGCAGTGTAGACTGACAGAAGTTTGCCTCGATCGCTTTGGCGAGAGACCGAAAAACTCTACTGCCAGATGGCTTTGTTCCGATGCGTTTAATGCAGTCGACACTGGCTTGCCTCATGCCTTTTTTCAGGACTTGGCGGCTTGGTTAAAGGCTCTTTTCTTAAGACTAACAACTGGAGCTTGCGGTCTCGAGCATCGACCCAGGATAAGTACGCCATATGCTTGTGCTTTTCAGAACGAGCGCACTCGGCGTTGAACTATGGACGAGCTTTACCACCAATGGGCACGTCAGTAAAGGGGATGAAATACTCCATCGCTTGACTTATCACATCGGTTATGGCATCCGCGCAGCTCGAAGGGTCTTCAGACGAGAAGGAGACCTGCCGCCAAGGATAAGATGCAAAGACATGCCGCATCTCATCCCACTGACTTGTATTGCCACACTCGCCGCACACCGTGTAAATCGTAGTTAGGTGGGGAATATAACGACACAGATTTAACAAGACAGTGTTCAGAAGTTCCCAAGGGTGAGGTAACCTGAACATCGTATCTGTCTGGTTCGGTCGTCAGCAGAAGGTCGAGGCAGTTGGCTTTGTGCCCATCCACATCAGGCACCCTAGTCGCTTGTTGTACCAGCTGGGAAAGCCCCAGCGACAAGGTAAAATTCCACGACTATCCCCCAGCGTGATCGGTCTTCTGGTATGGTAACAGCCAGTCCTGATGACAGGCATTAAAGTCCCCCAGAAAAACCAAATGTGCATTAGGGTACCGATTGAGAGCCACATCAGAAGGTTCACTGAGGTGTTCAAATAGCCTAGTTGTCTCCTGGTCACCGACGTGCGATCGGTAGACACAAGAATAAATAATTTTATCCATTCCTGTGTCTATCAATATCCAGATCATAGAGAAAGTGGGGTCCTCAAGGTGACGGAGACGAGGAGATGTCGTTGCGGACGTAAACACAGACGCCGGCGCGCTGACGGATATTATGCTCCAATGTGTACCCAGGGTAGTCAAGGTACGCCGCATCTAGAGGACATCTGATCTGCGTCTCAGTCAAGAAATTTAAGTGCAGCTTGTCAGTTTCAAGGTGGTAGTGGATTGCATTGATACACCTTTAGATGCTGCTTACAACAATGTTGCGCATCGCAGTCAGTTATGATTTCAGTGTGAAGTGCCCATTTAGTAAGTGGCGAGTTACCACCTGTCACTCTATATCTATTAAGACGGCAGGTGTCCCGAGTCTCCTCTCTATAGCTCTATATCCCACCCATCGAGCATCCCGATCTCATTAGGCCAGTTTTTATATTTTCCCCTTTTTTTACCAATAATTTGTGTATGTTCTGGAACTCCTCTTGGGATACATTTTTACAATGTTTACAGAGAAAGACCTACAACATACACCATATAACGAATTATAAAAAAATTCTCCAAATGACCTCTGCATGTTGGCCCGTGATTCCAAATAAGCCAATTAAATGACCGAGCCCCAATGGACACGAGATCACAAAATTAAATTCTAAGACAAATTGTTGGCATTTTCAATAAATAAGCCTTAAAGGATATATATATTTTTGAGAAAATTGCTTCCTTTGCCCTTTTCCTAAAATAAATACCTACGAAACCAGTTATATGAATTTAGTAAAAACTCTACTAATTACTAATTAAATATATATATATATATATATATATATACAATAAAATATTTTTTAACAAACAAGACAAAAATATAGTCTGTGATCAACTACAATTAAAATCTAATCACACAAGTCCACTGCTGAACATAGCCCTCCCTCGAGGAATGAGGGAGGGACAGACAACGACCGCCGCATTCCACATCGCAAGCTAGTCTTTAGTTTTCCTATAACTTTTTTACTCTCATAAAAATTAAATTTATATACATGTTTTTTAAATACGAAATTAAACTCTTAAAAAATCAAACAGGAAATTTTGATACCATTCAAACTAAATTGGAACTTTTCTCCGATGAACATTTTTGAACTTGTACTTGTTAAAATTTTACCAGAAAGAGATAACCGTCGAAAACCAATTTTATTCTACGGTATCCACGGCTTCTAATGCTCATTGAATCTCACCGTTTTTTCATAAAACGATTGAACAAGAAAAGAACAACGTTCCACCCCTTCCTCTTAGTAGCAGCAGTTCTAGTTCTTGCTCTTTTAATAATATTAAATTTAATTGATCTCCCTAAGTTTGATGGATATTACCTTAAATGGCTAGAGTTTCGCGATAATTTCAATTCTCTTATAAACTCTAACAATTACAAATATTTCCAACATAAACAAATTTCACTATTTGCTCGCCTCACTCGAGGGCAGTGCGACAGTGGCTGATAGCCATCTAATAGCCAATCCATTGAATTTTCATCAAAAAACTTACACAGTAGCTTGGGACCTTTTATGCAGTAGATATGATAATAAAAAGGTTTTGGTAAATAATCATTTAAAAGCATTATTCAACACAAAACCATTTAATCATAAATTTCACAAATCAATTCGCTTTGTTATAGATCTAAAAATCTACGAGCCCTTGAGAGTTTAGGCCAACCTGTAGATAAATGGGATGTTTTCATTATATATATTGATTTCATATATATAATGTCAACCAAACTCGAAAATATAACCCCAGGAATATGGGAAGAACATAAA